GGTTCCACAGATGTCAGATCCACCAGAGATAAAGTTAATTACATTGGCATCTGCAGGTTGAGATGCTATTCTTTGGGGGACGATTTTAGGATCTTGAGTTTTCTGATTGGTCCTCTCTTTCCTTTTTCCTAAGAGTTCCTTTAAATGTTATTTCCTCAACTAGTAACTAAAATATTTTCTGAAGGCGAAGCAATATTTGGTAAGATGTCCAAAATCTTCCTGGTAAGCATACCACTTCGATTTATTTATCAATCTAGGTGGCTTATCAGTTTTCTAGGGTCATCTCGCTTTGTCCCTAAGATTCCATATTGCACGTACCAGACCTGAAACATTAACAGAAAAACAATAGTCAAATATCTTAAATGTTATTCATTTTCCTCTTCATCTTCCATAGCATTAACCATATGATTCTCAGGTCTTGAGTAAGGTTTAGGATGGTCGTGGAACATATTTCCCCCTTCTAGATTCATCGTTTCCTTGAGTCTCTCTGTAAACGCCGCTTATTAGTTTCTTAAAAGTTCTATTACAAGAAAATTGATTATTGAACATGTTAATGAGATGTGATAAATCAGTTATAGAATAATGACGCACGTTTAAGAGCTACATTAGTGTTGATCCTATAATGGTTGAACCAAAACCCTTGTATAGACAAGCATCCTTAAGATGTTGAGGAATTAGAACTATCTCCATGTGTTCTCTGTATTGGGCAACATGCTCTTCAAGATTTGTGGTCCCATCATACATCTCCATGTGGGTGTCTAAAATCTCTTCTAAATTTCAATGTTACAGATAGGGTGCAAATCTCGAGACCTTATGGCTGATAGGTGACCCTTCTAGTATAGGTTGAATGACGCCTGATGCACTTTATATTTTATCTCTTAACTGTATGGTTCCTTCATCGTGGCTGGACTTATCCTCAGATCTTGGGTATTAGACAGGATGCTAGATATCACTCCAAGATCATGGGAGATAGGACATCTCGTATTAGGACTTACACCATTTGTGAAGATGGGCGCTATCTTGATATGAAGTCTCCGGCTTTTCGTTCTGAAGATGCACCTGTTTCGAAGTTCAGGATCCTCGGCTGCAAGAATGAAAATGGAGTTCGTGTAGTTTCCAAAGGCCTTCGTGAATCTGAACTTAATCTTTCCACTCTTTCGAACAACATCTTGTTGGTTTCACTTTGCTCAGTGATATGTCGATCTATTTTAGAACAGGAAATCCATGTTTACGTGTTGTGTGTATGTGTCAGACAAAAATATACACGACATAAATTTGTTGACGCGAACACAACATACATTGTAAAATGTTTATGGGTTATCAAACACAAACACAACACATAACAAATTTGTGTGACATGTGACACGACATGAATAAACATGTTTTTTAACCGCGTTACACAAAAACATGAATGGTTAAATTTTTAATACCATTTTCAAGCTAGGATAACATGCAAATAATCTTAATCCAATGTAGAAAGTAGAAACTCCCAATTACAATCCCTAATATTTTAAAAATGTAAACTTTAACCCCTAAATCTATACGCGTATATATGTGTTTATATGAGTCAAGTGTCGACACGATTTTGTGTTGTGTCCTATACATGTCTAAACACGTGAATTCGTGTTTGACACGTATAATACACGAAACACGAGTTGAAAATATGTCTCGAAACTAATAAACACAAAACACAAATTTCTAAAACACATACACGGAAAACAAGTCAACATGGATATGATATCGTTGTTTGAGACCATAATAGGTATTTCTTGGGTTGCACCTCCTGGATATTGGACTAGTGAGTATGTTGATACAGTCCTTCTAGGGATTTCGACATTCCTTCTTTGTGGGTTGACAACAGAAGGTAGGGTAGGCTCTGACCTACGGGGACGGATGTAATAGTGCAAGAAGCAGATTTTGGTAAAGAAAACATTTTAGTGCAAAAATGTGTAAACGACTAAAAATCACAAGAAAATATTTTTGAATAATCTTAAGAAAAAAAATAAAATAACACCACTTGTCGCACGGATGACGCCAAATTGTTTTGTTCAAAAATTTATAAACTAATTATGTAACCAAATTAGTAAGTGTGGTGTGATATTTAATATAGGATGTGTAAAACTAAGGTGATTGAGATCTTGAAATATATGGAAGATCTTGGTAAGTGTGGTGTGATATTTAATATAAGATGTGTAAAATAAGGTGCTTTAGATCTTGAAATATACAGAAGATCTTGGTTGTACCCAAGATCCTAGGAAGAAAACAATAATATTGGAGAAATGTTTAATAGAATTGATTCGTTTTAAAATGCAAATAATTGTATTTGAAGTAATTGGAACAAAAATAGTTTTAAAACTTTAAATAAGTAAATTTAGACAATTACATCTTAAGATACTCAAGATGATACCAAGATATCACAATATATCTTGATTGCTTCAACAATGAGATTAGATAAGCAATCAAATAAGTATGAGAAAATGTTGTAATCGATCAAACAACTATAAGTATGTAAAGTAAATGCAAGAACACGAAGATGTACGAGGAAAACACTTAATCATTTTGAAACTCCAACATAAAACATCGGGAAGTGATGAAATCGCCTGCCTTAGAACTTATATTAATCAAAATAAAATTACAAGTGCTAGCTGATCGTGATGTAAGTGTGGAAGAGCTTAAGAATCGAGAGAATGAAGGTGATAGTAGAAGTAAGCATGTGTCTATGAATGATGACCAGCTAGGCTTTTTATACATATTCATAATAACAAACATTTCAATATTCTAGGGATCATTCTTGATCCATGCTTGACTTGAATTTCTCGAAGGCCCTCAACATTCATTTGGCTTTGACCACGTGTTATTCACCTTATTATTTTCTAGTCAAACATGTGATACATGCATAAGATATTACAACAAACACAATGGCAGTCCCAAGATATTCGACTCATTTCAAGATCTTAACCTACCCGAGATGTTAGCATAAGTT